GTGTGTGTGTGTGTATAAGCCTGGAAGAATCTCTGGAATGACAGAGTGCATAGATGTGGGGATGTTGCAGAAGGGACTTTCACTTTTCACTATATGCATCTTCTAGACTGTTTAACTTTTTATGCATATGTATTTTTAATTTAAAAAGTGATAAAAATGACATTTAAAAGTGTTCCCAGCCAGCTGTCCCAGGCAGTCCAAGTCACCATTGGTGCACTCCCTGTGGTGATTACTGCCATCAAGGCCATATTTGTTCCTCAGATCATCTACCTGCTGGCCCCAGCTCTTTCTTGGAATGCCCGCTCCATCTCCAGGTTGGCTAAGCCAGCTAAACCATGCCCAGCTGATTTTGAGCCATCTAGTTCTCCCTCCTCTTCCCCCTCATTCCTAGTTACATATTGTCATGCCCTTGCCCTTTGCATCCAGGAAGGCCAAGATAACTGGGAAAACAGTTTGCACCCCAGTAAACGATGCTGAACTCAGCGTTCTTGATGAGGGAGGCTTGCCCCAACCCAGCTGGTAAAGAGGAGGTCAAAAGAAACACACAGGTCTCAGCTCCTCAGCTAAGTCATCCTCCAAACTTGATTCCTCTTTCATTCCAGTCTGTCCAGCAGGGCCACCCATGCTAGGCATGAACACTAGCAAACTGTATCACCTCACATGCTGAGCATTTCCGAAGGTGCACTGTCTGGCCAATCAGCAGGACACAAATCCAGTGCTGGGTGGTAGCACCTGCCAATCAAATGGCTTTTCCATGTGAGCCTACTTCTCCTGAGCTTTGAGGATGTGGTTTCCAGTCTGACTTTCTTGTTTCAGAGCTGAAGTTTCAAGGATGCATCTGGACAAAATATGCTTTCCATATAGGCCAACAATTTATTTATTTATTGCTTATGACATTGTACTTGGCAGCTAAGAAGATATAAAACAATTTGAACCGCTCTGCAGAAAACGGTTGCAGAGTTGCCACTGGAGACTGCGGTGGAAGATAATAGAGGAGAATGGAGTCTAGCAGATCTTTCTGTAATTGACAGGCAGAGCCTCTAGAGGCAAGTGTGGCCAACAGGCATTCCTGCAAGGAGCTCACATCTCTTTCCAGTCTCAACTCCTGCTTTGGCACAAGAAGGAGACCAGAGGCATGTGTTGGAAGCCTTCTCTGACAGGAGAGATGGAGCCAGTATGAGGACCTTTGCCATCCACCCTTAATTGCCAGGTTAGATGGGTGTTTTGAACATTCATTAATGCAGTGGGTGGTGCTGACCTGCTTCCTTCCTCTGCCTGTCTCCCATTGACACTGTGGGTGCCCCTTCCATGGCCTGCTGGGCTCCACCATTTCAGTGTATGAAGCTCAACCTCTAACTGCCCATTCTTGCATGGCTTTGCCTGAGGGCTTCCCTGGCTTCTAAGGCTCACCTTATACAGGCTTGTAGCAGGTGAGGAGTGTGAGGGTATTGATGCCCCTAGGAGCAGCCCTCAGCTGATGACCGTCAGGAATGAGGACACACATATCACAGCTCCCTCACCCCTAAAGTGGGATGATTCTGGTTCCATACCAGCCTCCAGCATTCCACAGCAGGACTAAGCTGCAGACACCTGTTGCCCACAGTGGTGGCTTGACAACTCCTCCTTTATTGGCTTGCCTTCCCCTTGCCTTATTGATGCTTCCTGGGAACACATCCCCCAAGGATAGCTTGTACTACATCCTTGTCATAGAATCTGCTTTCAGGAACCCAAACTCAGAAAACTCCTACCCTATTCCTGCCCAGCCCTTTTTATGGATCATAAATTAGAGGAACCCCAAGATTGTTTCTTGCACTTGGGGTGGTTGTTGGGCCTGCAGAGTGTTTAAGAGAATTCAAATAAGTTGCTATCATAAAGAAATCTAGATTATTGGATTCTATTGAAAAATGGCACAGATATGGCTATACTGAGCTTGCATTCCCTTATGGCATGTGGGGCTGAAGCTGACTTCTGATGCCCCTTTAACCAAGCCTCCCTGGCCCATTTCCCTCATTGACATTTCCAGACTGGACTCTATGGATAGTTGCTGGGTCACCCAGGCTACCTGTAAGGCCAGGTGCCTTTTTTCTCCAAGACTCCCTGCCTTCCTGAGGGCCTGAGTCACTGTATGGAACACTCAGGCCTGGATCATACATAGAAAAGTATGTGGACAGAGATGTGTGTTCAGCCCAGGATGCAAAAATATCAGAAAGAAGAGAGTCACTAACAGCTAATGAATGCAACCATGTCAGGTGCCCTGCTAAACCCTTTGCATTCCTTTCTTTTCCATTTTAGTCTTCATAGACACTCTGCGAGGCAGATCCTATTATTATCTTCACGTTTTATCTGAGGAAACTGAACCTTAAAGAGTTGGAAAACTTATCCACTTAGCTAGTAATGAAGCTGGGACTCCAGTTAAATTTGTGGTGTTCTTTCTGTCTGCAAAGCTGCTTGGCCCCTCTCATCCAGGGCACAGGAATATCCATGGGAGAAGGCACTTTATTTATTTATTTATTTATTTATTTATTTATTTATTTATCTATCTGAGTTTTGTTTTAAAGAAATTTTTTTTTTTTAGAAGACAAAGTCTTACTCTGTCACCCATGCTGGAATGCAGTGGTGCAATCATAGCTCATGCAGCCTTGAACTCCTGGTCTCAAGTGATCTTCCTGCCTCACTGCCTCAGCCTTCTGAGTAGCTTGGACTACAGGTGTACACCCCCACTTCCAGCTATTTTGTTTTGTTTTGTTTTTACCTTTTATTTTTTTTAGAGATGGGGGGTATCACTATGTTGCCCAGACTAGTCTTGAACTCCTGGCTCAAGTGATCCTCCCACCTTGGCCTCCCAAAGCATTGGGATTAACAGGCATGAGCCACCACTCCTGGTGGAGAATGCACTTTACATGGTTGCTATGCCATCACCCAGGCCTGGCCTTGAGTCTGGGAGGCTCTGAAACCTTCCTTGTTAGGCCACAAAAGAAGAAGTACATCTCCAAAAGGGCAGCTTCCAAAGTAGCCAGCTCCTGTCTCCTCAGCATTGCAAATTAGAGACCTTGTGATTATTTTATAAGGAGAACTCTGAAAGATGTATAGACCAAAAGGTTCATTAGCTTCTGACCACCCCAGTCTCTTCTTGTAGGAAGTCACAGGGGAAACCAAAGACTCCAAAGGCCAGCTGAATTTACAATGATATGAAACTATCACTGCAGAACCTGGAATGTCCAACTGTGGCAAGCACAGTCCCCTTCCCATAGACACGGCCTCTAGGGAAGAAGAGGTCTAGAAATAACTTAAAAAGAGAGTAGGAGGGGTCACAATGAAGAGAAGAATGGCATCCTCAAAACTAGGGATGTTGGCTGAAGTAGTCATGCAGGGCATCAGGAACCCAAACTCAGAAAACTCCTACCCTATTCCTGCCCAGCCCTTGTTATGGATCACAAATTAGAGGAGCCCTAAGATTGTTTCTTGCACTTGGGGTCGTTGTTGGGCCTGCAGAGTGTTTAAAAGAATTCAAATAAGTTGCTATCATAAAGAAATCTAGATTCTTGGATTCTACTGAAAAATGGCACAGATATGGCACAGAGGCCCCAGGGAACTATTCCACAGCAGGATAGTGGCTTTGATGGAAAGAGTAACTACTGGATTCCTGGCCCCACCTCCTCTCTCATCTCCCCCTAGAGATGGCCTGGCCATTGGGAAGCTCCGTGGCTATGACACCCATCTTCTGGATAGTGCTATGAAGCACTTCTCCAAGATCCTCCTCTTTCACTCCCCCACTTTTGCCTCCATGGTTGGCTGATGCCTCTCCTGACACACCCTTGTTTTGTTTTGTTTTTTGCTGCCAGTACATTCAGGCAGCTAGATCTAGCCTAGCTGGCTAGAAGCTGTCCTGGCTCTATAAGGCAACTTGGCAAATCTCTACTCCGATCTATTCCATTTTGCTTTCATGGGTGTACAGTCTTATTTCCCTTCCTTCCAAGTCCTTAAGATGGGAGGAAGTAACTTCTTTTGCCTGCCAGTGTGTTCCCTTTAAGTCTCCCTGACCAGAGTGTAAGCCGCCACAGAAAAAGCAGGCAAGAAATCAGGGTGGTGAGAACATAGATTCTGAGGCCATTATAGACAATAACTCACATCCTGTGTCACTATTATTACTATATTAGACATATTTCTTTCTTTCTTTTTTGAGACAGGGTCTCACTCTGTCGCCTAGGCTGGAATGCAGTGGCATGATCTCAACTCACTGGAATCTCTGCCTCCTGGACTCAGGTAATTCTTCCACCTCAGCCTCCTGAGTAGCTGGGACTACAGGCACACACCACCAGGCCCGGATAATTTTTGTATTTTTTTTTAAATAGAGACAGGATTTTGCCATGTTTTCCAGGCTGTTCTTGAACTCCTAGGCTCAAGCAATCCTCCCACCTTGGCCTCCCAAAGTGTTGGGATTATAGGTATAAGCCCCTGCACCCACCCCTGGATGTATTTCTTAACTTCTATGGGCTAGGTTTCTTTCCCTGTAAAGTGTAGATAATTATTTTTAATTGAAAGATGTGCTCAAAGGGTCAAATGAAATTATGTGTGTAAACTGCTGAGGAGTGTCTGAAAGCTGGGGAAATGTCTAATAAATAGAATAATAACAATACTGGCAATGGCTGTGATTGTAGCATGCCTCCTGTGCTCCCTAGAGTTGTGAGGTATAGCTCCCACTGTGGATCTTAACAAATGCTTGCTAAATTGACTTGAGCCAGGACTCAGTAAGGGATGCAATTTCTATTCATCTGGCCTCAAACTGGCTTATGGGAAAAGGCACTTATTGGTTCTTGTAACTGAATCATTCAGGACTACTCTGGCTTTGGGCACAGGTGAATTTGGGATCCTAAATGATGTCTTCAGGGATTTCTCTGCCTCTCTCTCCATCATTCTTGTCTACTTTCCTTTTCTTTCTGACTTCATTTTCAGGTAGGGTTCTCTTCTCACTATGGTCCTGTCGCCCCTGGTACCCCAAATTTCATCACTCCAGCTTCTATTTCCATAAACAGTTCTTTTTCCAAGCGGTCTTAACTCAAAATCTCAGAACTGAGACTCATTGGTCTAGTTTGATCATGTGCCCATTTCTGAACCAATCACTGTGGCTTAAGGGATAGCTCCCTCTGAGTGATTAAGTCTAGAGAAAGTGAACTCTGGCTGGCTTGAGTCATGTGCCCATATTGACATAGTACTGGGTGAAGGGTAACTGTCCCAGAACTGCAGAAACTGAAAGGAATTCCCCAGAGAAACTCTGGCCCCTCGTATCAAAAGACAGGGAGACAGACACTGGGCAGACCGAAGCAATGGATGGCTGTACACCACTGGTAGGCATTAAATGCATTTTGCACACTTGCTCATGAATGTCTCCCTCTCCCTGCTGCAGAGCCACATAATCAGAAGACTGAAGGACTATCGCTGTGAAGTGAATCTGAGTAGTTCTGACTTGCTGGCCTGTGACAGGGCAATAGCAGCCACAGATGTTTAACTAAGCAAGTGCTACCAGGCCCCAGGCCCGCAGGCTCTTCCCCAAGCCCAGTCCCAGCTGACAGGCAGGCCTGACAGGACATGTCAAGGCCAAGAGTCGGGACACCTGTCAAGATGTCACAGTGCCTCAGGACACGTGGGTGGGCAGGTGACAGCTGCAGTGACCCTTCCCGAGGCCCATAGAGCAACCTGCATCTGCCACCTTCAACAGGCAAGGCATCTTTCTTCTCAGAAAGCAAGGAAAGCAAGCATTTGAAACTGTATATCCTTTCCTGTTTCATTAAGGGGTTGGGCTTTGTTTTCCTGAAAGCTTTTGTTCTTCTGTCAGCATATTCAAAACAACCAAAAGGCGTTACCTGCTCTGAAATCCCCAAGATGCCTATCCTCAGAGGTGATTTTTTGGCTGTCTCATGCAGCAGAAGGAAGATTTGCTTCCTAGCTGATTCTCCACTCCTCAGGACATTCACAAATGGCAAATTATAAGCCCATGTTGCCTCTGCTGACTGCAACTTGGGCCTGTCAGCCCAGAATCATATTTGGATGATGATTTGGTCAAATCAGCCCTGGCTGTCATCCTGGGCTCCCTTTTCTCCTTCCACCCGATGAACAAACCCCATGGCCCTTCCTCCTCTGATAGCTCTGGCATCCAGCCGCTTTTCCCCATCCCTGATCTTCCCACCGTTCCTTTCTACCCCCACCACCTCTCTCAGGTCCCAATAGTCTCTGTGCTCCACTCACTCCCCTCCATCAATTCTTGGCTCTTCCACCAGAGCTGTCCTTCTAAAGCACCTACATCCATTCATGCCACCACTTAGCCTTTTCTTTCAATAGTTTCCAAGTCCCCTTATAATTAAGTTCTATCTCTTCAAAAAACTAGTAGAAAGGTTTTCTGACCTCAGTCTCAACTGATAGCCTGTTTGCCTCCTATACTCCAGATGTATTTATGGACATAGGTAGGCTCCCAGATCAGATCTACATCATGACATTCCCTGGGGCTGGGCTATTCTCCTCTGCCGCCTCTGTACCTGGCCAACTCCTACTTATCCTTGAGGCCGCAGCTCAAGGGCCACTATTTCTGGCTTCTGAATCTGGGTTTGGCATCTCTTCCACATGTACTCTAGGCACCTAGTGACTCCTCCACTACAGCGCTTATTATACTCTCCTGCAATTGCTTGCTTATCTGTGCTTCCTTCATTAGCCTGGAATAATATTGGAATAATGGAGCCTGGAAGATCTATGAGTATGGAACTCACCTTATTCATTACTGTATCATTAACTTCACATGCAAACCCCATCACATTATGGAAGCTCAGTTCATATTTGTTAAATGTCTGAACAATGTGAACGTTCATACTTAGACTTTCCATTGGCAGAATTTGAGGTCACAATTTCTGTACGTGCACCTGAGAGCAAATTGGCACATCAACCCGCACCCCCACCTCCAGATAAAATGTCAGCGATAGCATTTGTTCCACCTGATATTCCTTTTGGCTCCTGATCTTTATGCCCAAGGTATAAAAATGTCTCCATCACAACTTCCACCCCTGGAATTGAGTGCCTGGCGCAGGGAAGGGGGCACAATCTTTGACACAATCTAGAGCAAGCGAGACCTCCAAGGATTTGAAGAGAAATACAAGAGTGTGCTCTGAGCTTTGGCTTGCAGAACCTGGGGGGTGGGGCGGGGGTGGGGTGGGCGTCTCCTATTTCCTTGACCATCCAACTTTGATTTTTTTCCTCCTTGCTCAGCACCTAGTGGTGTAGTATTCCAAGGGCATTAAAACAAGGTTAAAGGGCTTTATGTGATGAAAGGCATTCTTAGTTGTGAGTGGCTAGCAGGAGTTTCAATATCAGCAATTTTATATATGGAAACATATTAGCTTCATATTTAATTGGGGTCGTAGTGCACTGTGAAATATAGCACTTCTGTGCACAGACTTGGGCATGATGTCCCACAGACGTGGGTTTGAGTCCCAGCCCTGCCATTAATAAGCCATGTGACACCTGCCCAGGTAGCTAACCCCTGTGAGCCTCAATCAGGTCCCTCATCTTTAAAATAGGGATGATAATAATAATAAAAGCATAAATCCTTGTAGGGCTGCTGTGAAGAACAAGGTAAGAAGTGCACATAAAGTACCATGTACAGCACCTAAAATGAGGTAAGCACCTAGAAAATGCAAGCTGCTCTTCTTCATATTATAACATTGGGCCCTTACCCTGCTCCAGATGCTAGCAAGTAAAAAATACACCAGCTTGCCCTGTGTGCCAAGTCTTACACGCTGATGTTGGTTCAACCCATCTGTGCATTAGTTTTCTACTGCTATCCTAACACATCACCACACACTTATTGACTTAAAAAAAATCTGTTTATTATCTCACAGTTCTGTAGGTCAGAACTTTGGCACAGCATGGTTCAGCTCATTCTCACTCTGGGTTTCATGAGGCCAAAATCACCAGGTGTCAACAGGGCTGCAATCTTTTTTGCAGTTCTGAGGCTGCATTTATTTCCCAGCTCATTCAGGTCACTGGCAGAATTCAGCTCCGTCTGGTTGTGGGACTTTCCTTGCTGGCAGCTGGCTAAGCATCATTCTCAGCTTCTAGAGGCCACCTGCAATCCCTGGCTCATAGCCCCTTCCCTTTTATCATAGCCTCTCCTCCCCCTTGGGACCATTCTGCCTCTTCTTATGCCTAATCTCTCCCCTTCCCTCTTCCACTGCACCACTCTGACTCTTCCACTTTCTTTCTCCACTTTTAAGGGCTAATGTCATGACATTGGGTCCGTTTACATAATCCAGGATACTCTCCCTATTTTAAGCTGCAAAGTCCCTTCGTCCAGTACCTGGTTAGTGTTTGAATAAAGCATGGGCGTCTTGGAAAGACATCTTTAGATTCTGCCTATCACATCTAATTTGCTGCATTTTAAAATCTGAAACAAAACACATCTCAACACAGCACATTCATTAGGTGTTTAGTTTGGGCTATTTGTGGAGTTGGCTTAGCTGGGAAGAAAAACGTGAAAAGGTTATTTAAAAAAAAAAAAATGGGCCCACCTCCTTTCCTGAGAGACTAAGCTCTGTTAAATATGGAGTTTTCCATTCATTTAACAGGGAAATTCCCTTAGTTTTTCTCTTTTTCACTCTCTGTTTAATAAAGTCCATACCATTTTAAGGTATTTAAGTATTTAAATATTGCAAATCTAGGTTTTTATATATGAAGCTCAACTCCAGATTCCAAATTGTCAGTCAGCAGGGTCTGAACAGGGAGGACTCCTGGGGGCAATCCTGCATTAATACAAACAGGACAGCGTGGGCTGGGAAACTCAAGACTCAGATTGGAATGTATTTGCCAATTGGCAACAAATCCTGTTCTCATCAGCTTATCAGATTTATTTCATGTAGAAAATTAAAATTCTGGGTTTCTATTCTACAGAAATACTTGCACATACGCCCAAAGACATATACACAAAATTATTTATTGCAGTCTTGTTTGTGACAGCAAAACATGCAAACTATCTAAATGCCTATTAACTGTGAGTGGCTAAAATGAACCTTGGGAGGGGAATTCCATGAAATACTTCTGTTGCTATTAGAAAATAAGGTAGGTCTATATATATTAAAATGAAAAGTTTACCAAGACATACTGTTAAGTGAAAAACGCAAATCACAGAAGAAGCTGAATAATATAATCTAATTTGTGTTAAATGAATTATGTAAATGTACATTATTTGTAAATGCAGACAAAGGACATATCTACCAATTAATTGGGGTCTTTTGCTTCTGGGGAGAAGTGTAGAGTTGGGGGACAGAGTGAAGGAGACGTTGAGGTTTTAAGTTGTCTACTTCAATATAGCTTAAATATTTGACAATGAGAATTGAGTCATGAATGTAGATTTTTTAAAGAATTGGGTGAAAAATACCATGTTAGACATATCACTAAGGGTAGGGGCATATAGGCTATCTATCAATGGGACTTGAAATATGATGTTATTTGATGTTTTAGAAATTAAGGCCAGCCAAACAGCTAAAATGACTAACCTCTGAGCATTTCAGCTTAAAATTCCATGCTTATTCATTGCTACAGCAGAGCCAAGTCCTGATGAGACAAGCTGAATGAGAGAGGGCTATTTATCTTCTAGTTTCTGGATGGCTGTGACCTTCCACAGACCTGGCACATAGAAGGTGCTCAATAAATACTTGAAGAATAAAACAAATGGCACTATTACATTTGGGAAAAGTCTGGTATCTGCCTTTGATTAAATAAATCAAGCCTACTAAAATCACACAGGAGACATATATATAAGATTCAACCCACTCTCAAGAATGGATGAACGGAAGGGAGATGGTTTTCATTACAGAATACAGGCAAGTAAGATTTGGAATTAGACAATCTTTCTTTACCTTCAAACAGAACCAAACAAAAAAATTCCCCAGAACCAGATCTTAAAAACCAAGTCCTAACCTTACACAGCCCCTGGAATAAAGCTTTTCCAGTGTACCTGCCAGCGTAGCCAGTAGAGGAGAAACGGGCTCAGAGGAGGAGGAACTTGCTGTCTGCAGTGCTGCCCCTTCATCAGTGGAAGTAAGGCTAGAATCAATGATGGCTAAGCTCCCTTTCAGTGGCAACTTTCTGGCAATCTGTAAGTGGCCACTCTGGTGGCCCAGTATCCTCAAAGGAGCTAGAATCAGTTCTTTTAGCTTCAAAGAAACAGACCGTTGGGTCTGCATGTCAAATGTCATTGTGAACCTATGCCCCAGCCCCCACCTCATCTGCAGATTACCTATCGGGGTTGAGCTGCAGGAGTTACAGTGGCCCCTTCCTTTTGGAGGGTGAGTTGGAAAGGGAGGCAGCATGTGGCAAAACGCCATCCTCAAGGCCCTCAACATTAGACGTTGCATTGTTTTTAGTTCTTTAAAAAAACCTTTTTTACTTTTATAGTTCTAAATTTACTCTGGATTTACCAATATTAACTAAGTGGCTAAGAAAATAAATCTACAAAGCAAACATGAGTACCACACTGTTCCCCAGGACTCTAAGCCTAGGAATGCAAGGAACCCTGTTTCTAATGATGTAGGTACACTCTTTGCTGCTATTGGTTTGTTTCTGCCTATAGCCAAGTCACATTTTGCAGTGCGACTATCCTGTAAACCATGCGCTTGTTTCTAAATTGTACCAGATGCTCATCCACTAACTCAGCCTTATACTTTCATCAGATTTTTATGTCTTTAGGATGTATATCTTTGCCACTCAAAGGGTGGTCCACACACCAGCAGCATTAACATTGCCTGGGAGAAGGGTTGCCAGATAAAAGATGGGAAATTCAAATTT